CTCATTCACACAGTATCATACCCCCTAACTAAAGCCAGTGTTGGATACCCAGGGCAATGAGCATCTCTCTATGTGCAGCACTCTGCACAGTTTCTGGCACACAGTAAATACTTAATGAATGTTAGCAGAAAGAATAAATGAAAGAGAACAAGAATCCAGGAAGTGTGGTGACTAGCTAACTGATCTAGCTACAATTTAACCCCTGAAATCTCTTTTCAATGTGTTTATATCTTTGCACAACTGTTTGATTTCCTTATACAGCAGAACTCTCTTATAACTTCCAATCATAGATTAAGGCTAACTTTTGTGCTATATGAGTATATGAGACATGTAAGATCCAAAGTATATCGGCGTACAAGAAATAAGTCCTTATATTCTGGTTCCTCTCCTTCCACATTTCTGTGATTATATCTCACCCTGTTTCTTTCCTTTAAGTTTTGCCCATCCTATTGTAAACATCCCAGGTACAGTGAGTATATTATTTGCTTACCCTATAAACCTGCAAAGTGCCTGATACAAGATACAGATTGTAATCTTGACACTTGTTACTGACAATTATTTTGCAAATTGGACTTTCTGACATTTAAAAAAAGTGGGCGGGGAGGGGAGGAATCTAATACAAAGTCAAAAGCATCTAGCTATGCATCAGGTATTTGATAGAAATTTTCTGTAGTTATTGTGTTTGTGTGTGTGTGTGTGTCTGTAAAATTAGAAAGAGTACCTTGTCTGAGACCCAACAGAGATATGAGGATGAATGAAATCTGTGTTTGAGTATGTGCAATCATGCACAAGAACAGTATTAAACAGTGTGCCAAGCATTATACCAAATTCTGGAGAAAACAGAAATAAGAAGGAGATGAGGTTCATCGAACTGGAAAGCAGACTGGTGGATCTAGAGAGTCTGCAGGCTGTTATTTCCTTATCCTTCTCTAAAGTCTCTCTGGGTTCTCCAACAAACTCAATCTCGTTGTTAGCCCCTATGCTGGTTCCTCTTTCACTAACCCTCTAAAATCAGTGGTTCTCAAAGCGTGGTCCTGAGAATAACAACATCAGCATCACCTGAGAACTTGTTCAAAATGCAAATTCAGGAGCCACACCCAGACCTACGGAATCAGAAACTTTGGGGGTGGGACTCAGAAATCCGTGTTTTGCCAAAGCCTCCAGGTATTTCTGATGCATGCTCAAGCTTGAGAAACCATCTAAGTTTGATTTAAGTGTTGATTTCCAAAAATTCCACTCCTTGCCCTTTCCAGTTCTCACTCTCAACTTTTCTGCATAGGAATGTCTTTTCTTCTGCTACCTCTGCAACTGTAACTACTAATAGCAACAGCTGTCATTTATTAAGCATATGTCAGCTAGGCATTGTGCTAACTGCTGTGCACATACCATCTTAATCTCCACAACAATTCTTTAAAATATTATTAACCCCACTTTTCAGAAGAAACTTAGGTTCAGAGATGCTAAATTACTTGCCCGAGGTTACTCATCCCAATCAATAGTGGCATAACAGAGATTTGACTTCAGGTTTTCCTGACTCCAAAGTCCACAGCATTAATTACTATACTAAGTCCTAGAATGGTACTACCTGCATAGCCTTGGAGGCTGTCAGTTACATTACAATTATTCCTAAACTGTCTCATAAACTCTGGAGTAGAATTTCTAGTTACCTAATGGGCCTCTCTAAACTCCACACATGGGCCTTAAAATTAACATGCCATCATTTCTTCCCTCCACTGTAAATCTATTCCTCCTCCTGTGTTTTCTAATTTAATGTCCTCATAATCCCCAGTTACTCGAGCTGGACATGTCACCTTTGACTTCTCACTCTCTCTCACCTCTAGCTGTTCATAACATTTAGAGACTTTTAACATCTCAAATATCTTTACAAGCCATCCATTCCCACTGTCCCTCTTCAGGGTCCCAGCATCTCTCACCTACATCCTAACTGGTCTCCTGCCCTCTCGGCTCTAATGCAGTTCTGCATATGAACTGCCTGTTAACTTTCTGATCTGATTATTCTACCTTTCAAGGTTCTCTATCACCAACACGGCGGTAGTGTTGGAAGGAGGGAGACTAGACTTTTTAGAATGGAAGACCCCCTTGTAATTTGGCTCCAACCATACCTTTCCTGTCTCATCACTTCTGCCATACAAGAAGCCTACAATAAACTCAAGGTTTTCCCATTCAATTTCAATCTTCGGCAATTTTGCTTATACTCTCCCCTCTGGCGGGAATGACTGTTTTCCTTTTTCCATGTAGCAAAATACTACTTGACCTTCAGGGCTAAGTTCCACCGTCTTCTCTTTAAAGTTTTCCCTGACTCTATCAATTTATTTCCCCAGCCAAAGTGATCTATTCCTTCAGCATTTTATTCATTCCAAAAGTGGTGAACTCTTATCACAGCACATCATGGTTAGTGTTTGTCCCCCCTGATGAACACTTGGTATCTCAGGTATACTGTGTTTTATTCTTTGTCTTGCTGGCACCCAACACAGTGCCTAGCCATAGCCAGAACCCAATAAATATTTGCTGAGTTGTTAAATAACATTTGATGTTGCAACATTACACAGGTTAGCAATTCAAGTGCAGGTTTATGCAACACTCAAAAGAAAGCTCACATAACAACAAAAGATAAAGACTAACGGTTCAATATTTAAGAGCAGCATCTTTAATTTTCTCAAATCTTTCTGTCAACATTTTTGAGTATCCTTTTTCAAATAGACTCCTTTCCCAGCTAACATTATTTTTATTTTTTACAGGATCAGCAGTAATTACAAACCTCAGACCACTATAAGAGATAATCCCAAGCAAAACTGTGTCACTGAGAGTAGCTTGATAATTGCTTTGGGTACATCATTTCAGTAAATTTCCAATGGAACGGCCCAAACACATAGGCAGATTTTAGAAATGAGGACATGCGCTGCTGACTAAATACATAAGATACACGCACATTAGTGAGGCATTTATTCAAATTAGTACTGAAATCACAGGTATACAACAATCTGACTTTGGTTCAACGATAATATCCTTTCATTTTAAGTAAGGATAACACTTATGATTGTTTAAGACTCTACTCTGAGTAACACAACTCCCATCCCTCCAGGAAAGTAGGCTCCATCTTGTTATCAGTGGGATGCGATGAGCCTGCCTTAGTCTTAACACTTTCCCTCCCCAACCTACTAAACCTTATCTCTCCAATTTTCCCCTCTCATGGTACATGTAAGTTGCCGCAATATATCCCCCAATGACCAAATTCACACTATTTTCTCAACATATGACTTATCTCTTCTCTAACAGAAATTTTACACTTCTTTCAAAGATGAGACAAAATCTTACCTCTTCTGAAGAGTTCACTAATTCAGCCCACAAGTCTTATCTTTTCTAAATTTCTACTGCACTTAATGTATAGGACTTCACATAGCACCTGTTTACATACTACCTCATTTGGTTTCATAATTATTTTATATAATATGCTTTATTTTCCTAGCTAGACTGTTTGCCCTTAAAAGAAAAAAGCCAGGTCTTTTATGTCATTTGTAATCCCACAGTCCTCCTCTCATATGCAGCATAATACTAGGAAGAGGGGGCACATGTATTAACTACTTGAAGGACTAAGCTAACTGCGTGTTATGACTTATCCACGGTGTCACATATAATAAATATCTATTCCGTGCCTACTCTGTGGCAGGCACTTTTGTAGGTACTGGAGATATGGCCCTGAAGAAAACAAACATGATTCCTGTCCTAAAAGCTATTATAGTCTAGAGCGCAAAAGATACTGAATTCCGAGTACCCTAAGTGCTACAGTGCAAGGTTATCACTGGTTCCAAGACGTAAGAACCTCAAACAACATACTTTACAGATCCTCAGTTATGAAACTGAATCACAGAATTTTAGATCCGAATGAGAAGTTACAAGTTATTTTCTTCAATTTTCTTGCACAAATCATGATTAAATTTCGGTATAGCCTGTCTTTCTACCGCACTGCCTTCATCAACGGTCAGAAAAGACTGACTTCCTTCCTACCTCTAAGACTCCTTTCTCCCGAGCACGGTCACTACTGCAGCCACACATCTACCCACTAGGGAGTCCAGCGCACTGAGAAGAAAGCACTGGGCTGATGATCAGCTGCACCTAATCAGGCTTGTCTGACCATCGACATTTTTCCAGCTCACACGCTGAACAAAATCTGTATTTTCTGCTTAGTAAATAACAAGCCTGTGCTACTTTTAAGAAAAAGAAAAACCGGTGACTCCACACTTCCTCGACCCTAATAACGACAGAAGCACAACATGGCTTAGGGAAACAAAACAGCTGATGTGAGTCTATGAGGAAGAACTGAGGATGGCTAGCCGCCCCTTGGCCGCAAAACCTGTAGCAACAATGTGATAAAATGCTTAGGGCCGACAAAGTTTGGGGCGTGCATTAAGCACGTGCGCACACACACGAAGTTGGAAACACTAGGCAACAGGTGGGCCGCCCCCTCTGTACACTGACAGATCGCCTTCTCCAGGTCGTGGGTGTGTCTGACGCCGCACGCAGGCACTGATTCACAACTCCCTCCATAACAACCAGCCCCGCCTCAGAGCCCAGCCAAGGCAGGGGAGTTGAGGGCCCCAGCAGTGCCAAACTTTCCGGACCCCAACCTCGGCGTCCCCGGTTCCGCCTCGTCTCGGTCTCGCGCCGGCTCGTCTCAGGCAGGATGCGAGGCTGCTCTAGGAACCGGGCTTCTCGGGATTCCGACTCCTTGGCCTGGGAGCCTGGCAGAGCCACCCCGAGGTCCCCAAACACCTCCTGCCTACAACACATTGCAGGACTAGAGAGTCTTCGCCGGCCAGCTGCTGCCGCTTCCCACAGCCACCGAGCCCAGGAACTGACCCTCGACAGCCCCCGTCCCCGCTCCTTCCCTGCCCCGGGAGAAAGCAGATGAGGAACGTGAAGGGGCGCGCGCAGCAGGTGCGGCCAGGCCCCACCTCCCTGGCGAGGCCGCGGCTACTCACCCCCACGATGTTCCTCTGCGACCTCACCGCCCGCACAGACGCCTCTTCCGCCCGCTCCGCACCCGCCTCGTAGCGACCGCCCCCTCGGCCCCTGCCGTCGCCGCCGTCCTCGCCGCCGCCGCCGCCGCCGCCGCGGCGCGCGTCCGCTCTCACGCACACCGCCGTGGCCGCGCACGCGCCTCTGCGCGCTGGCGTCACGTAGCAACCGATCAGTGGCGGGCAAGCGGGAACCGCGGATTTAGGGCCGGGAGGTCGGGTCCCGCGGGTTTTGCGGCTTTCCCCCACCCGCCCGATCCGCTGCCCTCCTGAGCAGGGGGCCCCAGGGTGTGGCTGCCCTGCCGGCACCCAGCTCCGGGTAAGTTACGTCACACTACGTCACTGTATGGCCTCACCGATCGCGTCACTGCAAATGGGAAGCTCCCCGCTGTGATCGCCCGGGCGCCTGTGGTGGAGGCAGCAGTGGCCTAGTCCAGACTCGCGCGGACCCCATCGGCTACTTCTGCGAAGTGCAGGAAGGTTCTCCAGGGACTGGGACCAGAAGGGGCTGAGCGCGCGGTTAATGTGTAAGGCTGCTGAATGACACTCGTTAACTCAGGAGCAGCGGCCTTGAATTCCTCTGTTTCCTCATTTTATAAATGAGGATAACAATACCCATCTTTACTACGTTGAAGAATTGTACCGCTAAAAGGAAATAGTGTATGCAAAGGTGCTTTTTAAAGTATAAAGCTCACTAGACTTTAAAATATTCTTATTATAAGAGAAGGCAGTCGAGCAAGAGCAGTTAAGAGCATGGACTTTGGAGTCAGGGAAACCTAGGTTCAAGTCTGATCCTGGATGTTGGACAGTCAATTCTGCTTGACGCTTGGGCGAACTGGAGGTCCACTGAGGTGTGGGGATTTGGAGAGAGTGACTGGAAAGGACGTAATTCCAGTCAAAGGAAGCTTCATGAGTAAAGGTATGGAAGTGAAAATAGGAAGAACAAAGCTTGAGGCAGAGAGATCAGTTATGAGGCCATTGCTGTACCCCAGGTAAGAAGAGATCAGAGCCTTAACCAAAGCTTTGGCAGTGGGAGTGTAGAGGAAAGGATAGATGTGAGCGCTGTTAAGGTGGTAGAATTGACAGCGCTGAGTGAAGGACAAATGAGTAAGCCAGGTTTCTAGCACGGGTGCTGGGGTAGGTGGTGGAAACATTTAACAAAATGTGAATGAAAATGAGTCTGGGTTATCCACAAGTTTCTGATCTAGCGTATTAGATAGTGCTGGTGACAGTCCCAGGAGGATGATTGGATTTCTAGAAAATGATGGTGTGTTCAAAAATGGATATGTTTGTTGGGGAAACACTTATTCTCCACTCATGATGTTTCCTCCCACACAGAGTAACATCTGTTAATAAAATATATAATATATATAATATGATATTGGCCTCTCACTGCACCTGCCCCAGCTCACTCCTCCCTAGAGCAGTGACTTCCTAATTGGTGAATTTAAAAGGAGAAACGGGACAGGTGTAGCCCATCCCATCACTTTCCTCTTAAAGGAAAGCTTCTGTCAGGGAACTATCTTTGTGTTCTTTTCTGATTCACCAGGAGCAGGGCCTAGGGGTGGGATTGAGGGTGCCTGGTCCAGGGCTACAAAGTTAGTAAGCCTATTTAATACCAGAGTTTCGCATTAGGAAGCTCTCTGTCCACAGGTAATATCCAATACTAATTTTGTCGATCGTAGTATACAGAATTATGGCTCCTGAAAGATTTTCATGTCCTAATCTCCAAAACCTGTGAATGTTACCTTACAGGGCAAGAGGGACTTTGCAGGTGTGTTAAATTAAGGATCTTGAGGTGGGGAGATTGTCTTGGATTATCTGGCTGGACTGGAGGCAGGAGGGTCAGAGAATGAGATATGATGATAGAAGCAGAGGTCAGAGAGAAAGATTTTAAGAATCTGTGCTGCTGGCTTTGAAGATGGAGCCAAGGAATGCAGGCAGCTTTTAGAAGCTAGAAAAGGCAAGGAAGCAGATTCTCCTCTAGAGCCCCAAGAGAGAACGCAGCCCTTCCAATGCCTTGATTTTAGAATGTCTGACCTCCAGAACTGTAAGCTAATAAATCTGTGTTGTTTTAAGCCACTAATTTTGTGGTAATTTGTTACAACAGCAATCAAAATGAACACATTCAGTAACAAAGATGATGGTTGGTCCCCTGCTGCATTCTCTTTTATCTAGAAAAAAGGGTGCAATTTATTAGGCTCCCTCAAACACTACTGCAAGGCGACTGTGACTTGAAGGGAACCTTCACATCCAGAGGGAAATATCCAATAAACAGTCGAATTACCCAAGTCTGCGAATGAGGAGAGAAGTTGAGTTAAACTAGATTTAGAGGACATTAACTTATATCAGTAATTGGTAATTTAAGTCCTAGTCATGGATGAGATCAATCAGAAAATATAGAAGAAATGATAAAGAGGACCAAAGATAGATCCCCGGGAAGCACTCAGTTTAAAAGGCAGTGGCAGATGAACAGAAGCCCACAAAGTCTGAGGAACAATGGCCACAGAGATAAAAGAACTAGGTGAGTGTAATGCCTCTGAAACCAAGGTGGGAAAGAATTGCAATATGGTCTCAGCAGAGTCAGAGACCACAAATAGGGCAAGTATATCAAGGGCTGAAAAACACTGACTGGATTTAGCAACACAAAAGTGATTGATAACCAACAATAGCAATACCTTTAGTGAGGTAGTAGAGATAAACACCAAATTACCTGGGTCAGAAAGGCAGGTCAGTATACTGGATTGCCATCTGGACTAGTTGATGGCAGTTTGAGATTCTACTCTTAGTTCTGGCCATTAACTAGCTAACCTTTGGCATATCACTTAACTATTCCATGCTTTGGTTTCTCATCTAACAAAGGAGAAGATCAGACTGGCTGATTTCACATAAATTCCTAGAGAGTCCCCTTAGCTTTATTTTTTTTTAACATCTTTATTGAAGTATAATTGCTTTACAATAGTGTGTTAGTTTTTTCGGTATAACAAAGTGAATCAGCTATACATATACATATATCCCCATATCTCCTTCCTCTTGCATCTCCCTCCCATCCTCCCTATCCCACCCCTCTAGGTGGACACAAACCACCGAGCTGATCTCCCTGTGCTATGCGGCTGCTTCCCACTAGCTGTCTATTTTACATTTGGCAGTGTATATATGTCCATGCCACTCTCTCACTTCGTCCCAGCTTACCCTTCCCCCTCCCCATGTCCTCAAGTCCATTCTCCACATCTGCATCTTTATTCCTGTCCTGCCCCTACATTCATCAGAACCTTTTTTTTTTTCAGATTCCATATATATGTGTTAGCATACAGTATTTGTTTTTCTCTTTCTGACTTACTTCACGCTGTATGACAGACTTTAGGTCCATCCACCTCACTACAAATAACTCAATTTCATTTCTTCTTATGGCTGAGTAATATTCCATTGTATATATGTGCCACATCTTCTTTATCCATTCATCTGTCGATGGACACTTAGGTTGCTTCCACGTCCTGGCTATTGTAAATAGAGCTGCAATGAGAATTGAGGTACATGACTTTTTGAACTATGGTTTTCTCAGGGTATATGCCCAGTAGTGGGATTGCTGGGTCATATGGTAGTTCTATTTTTAGTTTTTTAAGTAACCTCCATACTGTTCATAGTGGCTGTATCAATTTACATTCCCACCAACAGTGCAAGAGGGTTCCCTTTTCTCCACACCCTCTCCAGCATTTATTGTTTCTAGATTTTTTGATGATGGCCATCCTGACTAGTGTGAGGTGATACCTCATTGTAGTTTTGATTTGCATTTCTCTAATAATTAGTGATGTTGAGCATCCTTTCATGTGTCTGTTGGCAATCTGTATGTCTTCTTTGAAGAAATGTCTGTTTAGGTCTTCTGCCCATTTTTGGATTGGGTTGTTTTATTGATATTGAGCTGCATGAGCTGCTTGTAAATTTTGGAGATTAATCCTTTGTCAATTGCTTCATTTGCAAATATTTTCTCCCATTCTGAGGGTTGTCTTTTCATCTTGTTTATGGTTTCCTTTGCTGTGCAAAAGCTTTTAAGTTTCATTAGGTCCCATTTGTTAATTTTTCTTTTTATTTCCATTTCTCTAGAAGGTGGGTCAAAAAGGATCTTGCTGTGATTTATGTCACAGAGTGTTCTGCCTGTGTTTTCCTCTAAGGGTTTTATAGTGTCTGGTCTTACATTTAGGTCTTTAATCATTTTGAGTTTATTTTTGTGTATGGTGTTAAGGAGTGTTCTAATTTAATTATTTTACATGTAGCTGTCCAGTTTTCCCAGCACCACTTACTGAAGAGGCTTTCTTTTTTTTTTATGGTTTTTGTTCATTTTATTGTGTTAATTAAATTAAATTAATTTTTACTGGAGTATAGTTGATTTACAATGTTGTGTTACTTTCTGCTGTACAGCAAAGTGAATCAGTTATATCCACTCTTTTTTAGATTGTATTCCCATACAGGTCATTACAGAGAGTACTGAGTGGAGTTACCTGTGCTATATAATAGGCTCTTTTTTTTTTTCTTTCACACACACACTGTATTTTATTTTTACAAGAGATAACTAAACTGACACCAAGCATTGTAAATAGATGACCACAACAAAAGCAACAATGATTGCAATTACCAAACTGGAAACACACTCATACTATGTCATAATATTGACATTCAGTCCAGTAATCCTCCACTGTAACAGCTCCTTTACTTTGCAGTGAAAATTGATTTGTATATTTTTTTGAAGAGGTTGTCTTTTCTCCATTGTATAGTCTTGCCTTCTTTATCAAAAATAAGGTGACCATATGTGCATGGGTTTATATCTGGGCTTTCTATCCTGTTCCATTGATCTGTATTTCCCTTTTCGTGCCAGTACCATACTGTCTTGATTACTGTAGGTTTGTAGTATAGTCTGAAGTCTGGAAGCCTGATTCCTCCAGCTCTGTTTTTCTTTCTCAAGATTGCTTTGGCTCTTCGGGGTCTTTTGTGTTTCCATACAAAATGTGAAATTTTTTGTTCCAGTTCTGTGAAAATTGCCATTGGTAGTTTGATAGGGATTGCATTGAATCTGTAGATTGCTTTGGGTAGTAGAGTCATTTTCACAATGTTGATTCTTCCGTTCCAAGAGCATGGTATATCTCTCCATCTGTTTGTACCATCTTTAATTTCTTTCATCAGTGTCTTATAGTTTTCTGCATACAGGTCTTTTATCTCCTTAGGTAGGTTTATTCCTAGGTATTTTATTCCTTTTGTTGCAATGGTAAGTGAGAGTGTTTCCTTAATTTCTTTTTCTCATTTTTCATCATTAATGTATAGGAATGCAAGAGATTTCTGGTGCATTAATTTTGTATCCTGCTACTTTACCAAATTCATTGATTACCTCTAGTAGTTTTCTGGTAGCATCTTCAGGATACTCTATGTATAGCATCATGTCATCTGCAAACAGTGACAGCTTTACTTCTTCTTTTCTGATTTGGATTCCTTTTATTTCTTTTTCTTCTCTGATTGCTGTGGCTTAAACTTCCAAAACTATGCTGAACAATAGTGGTGACAGTGGACAACCTTGTCTTGTTCCTGACCTCAGCGGAAATGGTTTCAGTTTTTCACCGTTGAGAATGATGTTGGCTGTGGGTTTGTCATATATGGCCTTTATTATGTTGAGGTAAGTTCCCTCTATGCCTACTTTCTGGAGGGTTTTTATCATAAATGGGTGTTGAATTTTGTCCAACTTTTTCTGCATCTACTGAGATAATCATGGTTTTTCTTCTTCAATTTATTAATATGTTTTATCACATTCATTGATTTGTGTATATTGAAGAATCCTTGTATCCCTGGGATAAACCCCACTTGATCATGGTGTATGATCCTTTTAATGTGCTGTTGGATTCTGTTTGCTAGTATTTTGTTGAGGATGTTTGCATCTATGCTCATCAGTGATATTGGCCTGTAGTTTTCTTTCTTTGTGACAACTTTGTCTGGCTTTGGTATCAGGGTG